ATGGCTCCTCTAAGTACATTCGTATCTCGATTATAGCTAAGGCTGTTGGAGTTTGAGTTTGACTACCCACCAAGGAGTCATCAAAATCTTGCCAAACTAAATCCTCGTCATCGTTTCTTGAAGTACTCCTGGATTCATTGCATAGCCTTTCATTCGATATACTCTTATTATTAATAAGAGCAGTTATTTCACTTTGAACTCTTTGTTTTATAGTTTGAAAGGCGATATCACTTGAAAAGGCTTTTTTTTTAAACCTGGGGTCCAGAAACGCTGCTGTCGCCATTAAGGAGTTGCCTTCCAAATTAACAAATCTGGTGGAAATAGAGTCCTTAAGTGTTTCAGCCATTTTTTTCCCTTCTATTGATGTTATTTCCTTAGAAAGTTTGGTTAAAACCGCATTCAATCCTCGTACAATATTAATTACTTTAGATAGAGTGACATTATTTTCTGAGCTCATTTCCGTCGTAATTTGTTCGAATGGTTTTAAAATATTTAAAATTTCTTTTATAATACAGCAATCATTTTCCGTTAGGGCCTCCAGTGGAATGCGTAAAATACCAATAGTAGCTGATATAGCTTCAGTTATTTTTATAATCCTATCGAACATATAATAGGTTGAATTCCACCTAGTTGGGCAATCATTTTTTAATTTTAAAACTGTTGAATTTAAGGACAACTTCTGTTGCGCTTGAAGTTTAGTAGTTTAGTTTTTTGATTTTAGTCTAATATGCTCAATATTTTTTAAGCCTTTTTGAATTATTAAATTTAATGTGTGAGCGAAGCATGGAACATGACACCATCCACACAAAGTAACAGCACGTATAATATTTGCTGCATTGTCTGTTGTTACAGCAAATATTTTATTAGTCAAACGCCATTCATCTATTATTCGCTGTAAGAATTACGTTTTGTAAAATAGCATTAAAACCAAAATTATTTGCCTTAATTATGTACCTTAATTTCTGCTGCCAAATTTTCTGAGGTATGCTGGAACCTACATTCCACGCAGCTAAGCAAACAGGAGTTAAATTTCCAATTTTGGGATATGAAATGTGCTGTCACAGCCAAATAGCTTTCATTAGCATTAGAAGTCCACATATGTGTTGTTAATGAAATAGTTTTAGCTTCTTGTAAGATATCTAATATTGATTCTTTCGCTTTATTATATTTTTCCATAAGAAAAGTTGTACTAAATGTTGTTCTTGATGGAAACATATAAGATGGTTCGAGACCCAACACGAGTTTACGAAAACCAGTGTCATTAATAATAGAAAATGGCTGTACATCTTCAACTATTACATCCAAAATTAAGTTGTTAATCTTTATTTGACGTGGGAGTGATAATGGTCGCATTACAAAACTTTCAAGAGAAGTTTGCGTTATTCTTGGTGCAGCCACCAAACCAGAGGTTGATGGAACTACCGTTGGTGAGTTAGTGCTGCTACTCCCTATATAGTAAATGAACTTGCTTTATCATAGTGAAACTATATATAAAATTTGCTTTACCTTCGCCAAGTACTTCATGGAAAGCAACTTCACGATTCCGTTTAACGGCGCTTAGGACCGTGGGATGCTTAATGTTTAAATGCTTTCTCAAATTTGAAGTAGAACCACCTTTTATTGAATAGTTTGTTCCACATAATCTGCATTTAGCTTTTTCACTTCCTACTGGTTCAAAATGAATCCAAATTTCACTTTTTTTATTATTAATATTTTCACACATTTTTAATAAATTTGAAAACGAACAAAATTTTTGAATAAAGTAGTTGTTATTAAACCGCGAAAACAGCTGTTGAAAGTAATCGTTACCAAATACTCAAAAGAGTAGGTAAAACGAATACTACTCATTGGTAAAATGAGTAAAAGTAACGAATACAATAAAAAGTTTGTATTCGTTACTCCGGTATTTCTTGAGTAACGAATACAAAGTAACGGATAATTACTTTTTTGGCACTACTACATCACAAGGCAATTTTGTAAACAAATAGCAGCTGATTAAGTTCAAACACATTGCCAATGATAATAAATAATAGATAGGATTATTTTAAAACGAAAATGAATAGCTTAAAATTTCTAAATTTCAAAACGACAATAAAATTCTGCAATGAGAGAAGTGCATTACTTCAGTCAATACGAAGAGGTGGGATGTTCAAGCGATCGCCTGCTTTAAAATTGCAAGCTGCTGCACTGCAGGATTTGTATACGAATTTTTTTGATAACCGAACTGAACTCAGCGTAGAGGAGTGGCAAGAAGCTAAACAAGCACTTGTAAATAATAACAAATATATATCATCAAATAACGTAGATGCTATGATGATTGGTTTATTTAAATACGGACACCAGCTTCCATTAGCCAAAGATTACTTGAAGTACTTGAAGAAGATCAATGTTGAACCCAATGTGGCAACACTCGGGCGACTCTTACGAGTTTACAATACAGCTTATCATGAACGAGGTGGTTCCATTGATTCGCTGACACCAGAAGAACAAAATGAAATTTTATCAATATATACACACTTCAGAAGCAAGCATGACGTGTTTGACACCACCACTTGTGAAAACCTTATACATGGGCTTGTGGCCACAGAGCGATTTGGCGACTGTAAGGAGTTGATTGAAATGGCGAAACTTACAGCAGTGCCAACGGTAGCAGCGTATTCCGAAGTAGCTGTCAAAGCTTTTAGCACAAATGATATGTCATATGGTTGGCAAATATTGGATGAGATGGTCACAGCGGGCAAGCAGCCAAGATGTGAAGTATTCATTGCTTACATTGAACAAATAACAAAGAATTCAGACAAGAGTTTCCAGCATGAATTTGAGAAATTGTTAGAGTTTTTTGGACAGCATGATATCATCATAAGTGAGAAAGTAGTTGATTACATCACGAGCCTAGAGAACAAAAATTTGCTTAGCATTACAAAATCTAAACTTAGCCGCTCGGGCAAATGTAGAAACTGCAATAATCAAATGGAAAATATTTCTGTCAGTGCTGCAGATTTTGCTAAGCTTAGTAATTCGTTTTTAAATAAAGTTCTGATTAGAAATGATGTTTTTCAAAAATCGACGCCTCAGGAAGTTGACAGATTTAAAGCATTCGTTGCCGAAACCGCACCGTACGATTGTGTCATTGACGGACTCAATGTTGCATACTCAATGGGTATCAAGAAATCCCCGGCTATGTTGGCTAACTTGGTAGGGTGTTTTATGTAGTTTTTATATTATTTTTAAATGAATTATATTTTGTTAGGTTACTAATGTGGTGAAATATTTCAGTAGCCAAAACAAGCATGTCCTGATACTAGGCCGAAAGCATATGCAGAATTGGTCAAAGACATCCTGGAATTACATATACAAAAATGCTAGTGTGTTTCTAACAAATAATCTGTAAGTCTTTCTTTTCTATTTGTTAAGCGGTATTTTTATAGATGCCGTAATTGTGATTTACAAAATCTCTAAACAATATATGCCAATGGCAGCATGAGGTTGAGTCCGATAGATGATATACTTTTTGGTGCCCTGATTGAAATTAAATATATATTTAATTTTATATATTTATTTATATATTTAATTATATATATATATATATTATGTTTGTAAATATTGGTATCCACCTAATTTGTTTTTATGCCGGGCCTTAGGTAGTTTTTTGTATTATATTATTTTAAATAATTTAAAAAAGTTTTTGTTGAATTAAAAAAGTATCAACAACACTGAAGATAGACCGAAATTAACAAATAAGATTAATGTTTTTATTTGCAAATTTTTTATATTATTTAAATTTAATGTGAAACAAATGACCTAAACTCCTGCAAAAAACATAAATATATAGTATATATTTGTATATAATATATAGTACATATATATTTGTATAAAATATATAGTATATATTTGTATAAAATATAGTATATATTTGTCAAAAATATATAGCATATATTTGTAAAAAATGTATAGTATATATTTGTAAAAAATATATAGCATATATTTGTAAAAAATGTAAAGTATATATTTGTAATAAATGTATAGTATATATTTGTAAAAAATTTATATTATATATTTGTCAAAAATATATAGTTCATATTTGTCAAAAATATATAGTATATATTTGTAAAATGTATAGCATATATTTGTATAAAATATATAGTATATATTTGTATAAAATATATAATATATATTTGTAAAAAATGTATAATATATATTTGTAAAGAATGTATGGTAATATATTTTATATGTTTGTATAATATATACAGTAATATATAGTATATATTAGCAAACATAAATAGTAATGTATAGTATATATTTGTATAAAATATATGGCATATATTTGAGTGCATTGTCACTCGATTGAAAATAAAATTTTTAGTTTGAAAATATGTAGAAATTAAATAAAATATATATTTTATATAAATGTATATAATATATTTAAAGTATTTATTTAATTATATATTTATGTATAATTATAATTTTATATTCAATCGAGTGACAGTACATCCAAATAATCGTCATAAGTGGTCTTCGAAAACATCTATGGGTTTAATTGTTCATATACAATTTTTAGACTACAAATGTCAGGATTTAAACCCTTTCAAATTTGAATCGTGATGTATTTTTCTATGCGAAGTACAATTCAATACGACATAAAAATTAGAACGTAGCCTAGAAGATATGAATAAATAAAATAATACAGATGATAAACGTAAGAGAGTGCTTATCGGAATTTGCACTTTCCTACAAGCAAGGGGCAAAAAAATTTAAGCTTAAACTTCAAATATATCATTATCTCTCTAACTCGGTTATTGCTTGAAATGAAGAATAAAGCCGCAAATAAAATGGGATCCAATCAAAAGCTTGATTTTCTAATTACAGAATGATTATTTGATGAAATGAGAATTAAAAATACGCAGGACACTATAGCATACTTAAAAATGTTTAATATATTTCACAGAAGGTCTACTATCAGATAAGTCAAGCAAATCTGATAAAACTATTTTTGTCAGACATAACGTTTATATTTAAAGCTCCAAAATATAAAACTAGGTTTAGTTTTGAATTTATTTAGAAATAAGCTTACTTAAGATGTCGTACAGACTACTAAAATTTCCAAGTGCATTTCAAGCAAAAATTGCTGCTGATATATTTTAAGGAAGATATATAGTAGAAACTAATATATGATTATTTATTGAAGGTCAAGTATTAATTATATTTATATTCTTAATATATCAACCATACTATATCCATATCCAGGATATAGTGACTGTTACTGAGCAATTGCCATGTACTATGTAAATTATTTCTTTAAGTATTCATATACCAATCAGTACGGTTCTTTTCCCAAGAAACCAGTAATTAGTTGTTGCAATGAGACCACAAATAGAGTTACTTTTGGAAACTAATTAACTTGGGTACGAGGGAAAACGGTATTACTATATCCTTTGTAATTGGTCATTGTCTAATAGAAAGTTACACACAAAGATCAAGCTGCCATCTATTGTAAATATGTTCCGGAGCAGTGATACAATTCTTGAAAGTTCATTTTAGACGATCTCGAATTAAAAACTGCTATCGAAAGCCTTATAAAATTCTCAAACAAAATCAATTGATTAAAGTGCTGTAGGTAGTTATTGACTAAGAAATACACGCATCGTAGAAACCAAATCAATCGTTAGAAAGCAAGAAATCATTTTATAAAATCGTTGCCAGATTAAGAAGCCAGACCCATACACGATGTATGTGGGATCTGCAATGTCCCTAAATATTGATTAAGTTTATATACCATACACTAGATGATGTCAAATTTAAAATGTATTTAATTGTACTAGCTACTAATGAAACTGAATATAAAATTTGAAATTTTAGGTCTGTTCCACAAGCTACCCGTAGTAAAACTCAAGTAAAACACAATTAAAGTACAAACTGAGAGCGTAACACAAATAAACTGTCAAATTACGCTCTTTACACAGAATTCCATGGAATATCTTTGTGTAAAGTCAGGTGAAAACATCAGTGCCGCGCAAATAAACAATACAAAAATTTAAATTCAAACCAAAACAGCTGATTCGCACATCAACACAAATTTTACTTGAAATAAAATGTGCGAGTAAAGTTTGTGTAGCATTTTCAAATTTCGTCAGCGATGTTATGCTCTCTCAGATAGTTAGGTTAGGCGAAATGGTGGAACGCACTTGTGTATACACTGTGTTGCTCAAAGTTACCCGTGGAACAGACCTATTTATAAATTTTAAATTCTAAAACTAAAGTTCACTATTCTTTTTGATTTATATATGCAGATAATGCTTATTTGGAGATGTTAACAGTCTATGTTAATATAAATACATGCGTACGTGCGTTTGCTAATACTTCAAACTTTGTTAACTTGTTCCTTCCTAGTATTGTTCTTCAATAGTACATATTGCAGTAGTCCCACGTTTGGGAATGTAATCACTCTCTTTTCTTTTCTTTATTCTTGTACTAGATTTTTATGTACATCTGATCAAAATCACTTCTTATGAACTTCTTTCTTCTTTTTATTTTTGTATAAGATTTTTATGCACAGTGTATCTCTTCATAATCACTTCTTATGAAATCCTGTCTTATCTATTATTTTGACCTTATTGACATCTGCTACATGTTTTGTTTTCAGGATGTATTGGTTTAATTTTGTTGCCTCTCTACCTGTTTTTTTGTTATGTGTTCCTTCGTGCGTTACCTGTTGTCAGGAACAGTCTCTACGCTTGACCTGATATACACATGGATTTGTTGTTTATGTTTTGTTATTTATGTTCTTGTTGTAAATATTATATATAACAAACATAAATATAAAATAATATAAATTATTGTTGATTATTTAGTTGAATTGAAAAGATATTATAAAGCGTTTTTAAAATTAATCGTATCATTGTGTATTATTAGTTTGTGTAGTAAACATAAAAATAAAATAAAGCGGCAACTCTGTAAGAATACTACTTGACAGCTGATTGAAGAACGGCACTTTATGTTGTTTAGTTTTTTTTGAACTTAAATAAATAATTAAGCGTTTTTGGAAAAATGATTTCGCTACAAACGCAACCGAAGTTCTTGAGGCCTGCAGAGCAAGATGACATACCACTCAAAGGAGAAGATGACCCGGCAACTACAACATTTATCTTCAATGCGCATCGTTCGCTGGGCATAGCTGAGCAGCGGGAAAAACTACCAATACGGAACTATCGCAACCACATATTATACTGTCTGGAAAACCACCAAATTGTCATTTTAGTTGGCGAGACTGGCAGTGGTAAGAGCACACAAGTACCACAATATCTATGTGAGTGGGGCTGGCATGTGAAAGGCTTAATTGGTGTGACAGAACCAAGGCGCATATCCGCAATCACCTTAGCAGACAGAGTTGCGTTGGAGCGTGGTGAATTGGTTGGGAACACTGTTGGCTATGTTGTTAGATTTATGGAGCGAATTTCAAACAACACAAAAATAAAATATATGACAGAAGGTATACTGCTACGAGAATTACTAGCAGACCCACTATTAATGCAATACAGCGTTATTATTGTTGATGAAGCGCACGAAAGGAACTTGCTGACTGACACCGTACTGGGATTGCTTAAGAAAATTGCACGTAAACGAGAGTCTTTAAAAATTATTATATCTTCTGCTACTATTGATGCGGAATTTTTTCGCGAATTCTTCGATATCAAGCGCAAGAAGTCAAGCAAGCCATCCAGCATTGTGTTGACGGTTGAAGGTAGAATGCATCCAGTTAAAATACATTATATAAATAAGCCTTGTCCAGATTATGTACGTGATACAGTGGAAACTGTTTGGAAAATACATAAGAAGGAAGCAGCTGGTGATATTCTGGCATTTTTAACGGGACAGGAAGAAGTATTGGAAGCTTTAGATTTGTTGAATGAATATAAAAATAGCGATAATTCGGAAGATATACAAATTTTACCTATGTATGGTGGTTTGCCTAGCAGAGACCAGCTCAAAGTGTTCTTTACATTAGCAAAAGGAGTGCGTAAAGTAGTTCTTGCAACTAATATTGCAGAGACGTCTATAACTATACCCGGCATTGTGTACGTCATTGATTGTGGATTTGTGAAAGTGAAATGGTACAATCCAGAAAGCAGTTCTGACAGTCTTGTTGTAGTGCCGGTGAGTAAGGCGACTGCAGTGCAGCGTGCTGGGCGAGCAGGGCGTGTACGTGCGGGAAAAGTGTATCGACTTATCACAGAAGCAGACTTTGAAAAGCTTCCTGAACGTTTACCATCAGAGATGTGCCGCTCAGAGCTTAGCGCAAGTTTACTGCATCTAAAAGCATTGGGTATTAGTAATGTGTTACGTTTCGATTTTCCATCAGCTCCACCAGCTAAAAATCTGCTCTCATCGTTGGAGACGTTGTATGCATTGGGTGCTATTAATGAGCAAGGAAACCTAACTAAACCAGTTGGTTATTTTTTAGCTGAGTTGCCGTTTGGACCGATGCTTGGAAAAATGTTATATATATCAGGACAATTGGGCTGCTCCGAAGAAATATTGACAATCATCGCTATGTTGCAAGTGGAATCTGTTTTTTCGAAACCCGTAACTGCGCAAGCACAAATGAAAGGAAGAGTTGCGAATCGTAATTTCGAGGTTGCTGAGGGCGATCTTATAACTTTGCTTAATGTTTACACCGCGTTTGTGGAAAATGGACGCACCAAAGAATTCTGTGGTCAATATTATTTAGTTTATCGGAATTTAAAGCGCGCCTACGAATTGCGTGAACAACTTGTTAGCTTAGCAAATAAAAAGTTCGGCGTAGCATTATTTTCCTGTGATGGGAATGTCGAGATGCTTTGCAAATGTATAACAGCTGGATTCTTTATGAATGCAGCCTACTTGCATCATTCCGGTGTTTATAGAAAAATAACCAGCGATACGGAATTATTTATTCATCCCAACTCAACGCTCTATACTATACAACAGCCTCAGTTTATAGTCTACAGCGAATTACTGCAAACAACAAAACTCTTTATGATGAACGTAACAGTTATCAAAGAAGAATGGTTAACGGAAGTAGCACCGCATTTCTATTGTAAAAAAACTTTACGGAAATATAAATGACCTGAAAGGCTTTCTGAATAGTACAAAAGGCTGGCGCCATAAAAATGTAAGAAGATAATGTAAAATTGTTTTTTGTTTTACAATCAAATATGATGAAGAAACTATTTTTTTAAAATATAAAAGTTTGGACAGTAATAATATTATTATATTACAGGATCCAAGTTCTAAGCCTGGCACTTGCAATCCATAAAATTGTGAATATTGCAATCCATAAAGTTATTTCCAAGGGACACTGATGATGGAGGTTAGGTAATACACGAAAAACCTGTATGGTCAGCTGAAATATCAAATTAATTAATTACAAAAAAATATTTTTTCTTCGATTCATTACTGTCTGAATATTGTAAAATTATTAAATATTTAATAATGTATATAATGTAAAATTAGTATATAAAATAAGTATGTAATTCTATATGTATATATAATATTAAGCATTTTCACATCATATATTCTATATACAAAGCTGTATAAATTAAGAGAGCATTGTTTTTCGACTCATGCATAAGATGATAAGACATGTACGTCATCGTTTGTGTCATTTTCTTTACAAATATTTTTTAATTTAGAATTAAGCATCTAATTTAGCCAAATATAGTTAAATAAATTAAACTAAGAATGTACAATGTATTTTTTTTAGAGTTAAGTTTTAATTTTTTAAATTGCTCTCAGAAGTACAAAAAACTTACCATTTTAAATAAAACTTATTGTTAGTTCAATGATAAAATGATTTTAATTTTCATTAACAATATATTATATATTTCATTAATTAATAAATAATAAAAAGTTTTTATTATAATTCACTACAGTGTATTAAAAAATATGTACGTCTCCATTAAACAACAATAGTTTCTATAGAAAAAACATGGTTTCTTTCGTCATAAATGATTTAAAAAATCAAATTATTATTATTATATTTATTATGTACGATGCAAATATATTATACTTATATTATTCCAATATTATACTTAGTAATTATTTTCAGTTTTTACGTTATTTCTTCAAAAACTAAAGGATATCTGTTTAAAGTGGTCTTAAGTTTAGAATAAAGATTAAATCTGTTTGCGCATCTGTCTAGCTTTAGGTTGTTTTTTTTATAACTTTTAAGTAATGTTAAAGTAAAGAATAATACAAATTTAAATAATAACAAATAATTTGAAACAAAATTAAAACCTTTTCTTTATTTATATAAATATTTCGGTTTACTTTGCAGACCATCTTCAGTGTTATCGATGTTTTCATTCAACAAAAGTCAAATAAAACTTCTAGAGTATATGTAAGAAGATTATATATATATATACTCTTCTTAGATAAGAAGATAAAAAGATTAAGAGACAAGAAGGTGTGTCCTTGGTCAAATTAAAATTTTTTCCTTTATTATTTAATTTATAATATTATTAATATTTGATCAGAGCGATTCATAAATTTATGCCAGTGCTGTGAAGCACTATTTTTTATTTAGAACCTCTGGAGCAGTTCTATTCCAGCCTTTTATGAAAGAAGAGTTAACAATTACGTTTTTAGAGAAAGTTATTGTGATGTAGAGAAGCCAGAATACCATATATTAAATAAAGCTCAACGTCTTTAATATAATTCAAGGAGTTTTGCAAATTTTGTAATTTAATTGTTAACAATCTAATACGTCAGATATATTTGTTGAATATTCTTACGTCCTCAAAATAAGGGAACTGTTGCTAGAGCTGCTTTTTGCCAGGTATGATACCACATTCCAGATAACGTTTCTGCACAGCAATTCTTGGCCGTATTTTATTTTTCTGCTTTTGATTCAGCTTCCAATCGATGCCGATGGGCTTTCTTCCACAGCATCGAGAGAGACGTCTACGACTGTGATAAACAGCGAGGTCTGTTGCAATTCAAGCTGTTGCTAAAAGTACCTTCATGTGAAAGACAAGTTCTTACAACAATTAAATGCAGAACAATTAAACCATATCTCGGTTATATTCAAATAAATTAAGACCATCAACTGCTACGATTTATTAAAGAAAACGGACGCTTATTGATAATGTAAGGGAGCTATACAATGCTCACTACGCAATGAAAATAGTTTCAATATAGATATCTGCATATCAACTCTTTATATATCTTTAACAATTAGTAATATTCTAAATCGAATGTGCGAGTAAACATAAAGAATTATTACATATAACAAAAATTTTAAAAGCATTAATTAAATTTATATAATTCATATTTATATATCTTATGCATTTAATTATAGAACACATGATGATCCATTTTTATTGTATGCTACACTGAAGAGCGGCCACCACACTGATTTCTTCTCGCGGGATTTAATGCGTACACACTCTTTTTTACTGGGGCCTGAACTACGACCAATTTTTAGACGTTGGCAACAGGAACACCAATATTCTTTAGTTACCCAAACTGAAGGTGGAAAAATAATAGTTAAGGTATGATTGACGACTGACGTTTAATAAACAGAGACTATTAGCTATTAACTGAGAATTTTTTCTAGGAGCCAATTCGTTTTATGATATGCGCGCACAAAGTGAAAGACACTTGGCATTTGCCTTATAAACAGGAATATCTTGCAAACCCTCCAACATCATTTGAAGTTTCATCAAATTGGCTCTGCATTAAATTTCAAAATTAACCAAATAAAGTAACTGAAATGTAAAATTTGTTTTAAGGACAATTAAAATTCTTTCATTGAAATAAAATTTATTTACTAATTTACGTATGATTTTATAAAATCCATCCAAATTCTACAGTTAAATAATATTTTGGCATACTCAAAGTTAGCAAATTTTTACAATTTACAAACAAATTAAAAGTATTCAAATATGGCAAGCAGTAATGTCGATAGTTGGGACTTGCCCCTTCCCACCTCGACATCCTCGACCTCTGTCGAAGAGGAAGAGATACCAGATGACGAGCGCAGACGTAATGAGAATATGGAAAAACTCAAGAAATATGTCGATAGAATGGCGTACCAACCGCAACCGCCGTATATAGCTAAGCCCACTTTTGAAAGATTGAAAGAGCCCAAAAAACACGCGGTTTTGTACACTGCTGAGTACTATGCTGACATCATGACACCGAGGTTGCGAGGTGAACGGATGAAAAACTTGGCATGGAAGCATAATGCAATCACGACAGAGTAAGTTCTTGATTGAATTGGTAGATGTACATCATTTTTTTAAGAAACGAACAAACAAACTCATTTTAGTGACATCTAGTATATATCTGTACCATCTTTTCTAATTCAATTAACCTTTTAATCAATCAATTAATTCATTCAATCTTAGTTTAAGGATATTTGATGTATCAAATTAATGTATATATTATATGATATATAAGAAACAGGTTTATATTTTTGATATATAGATATTGTTCTCCCAACGGGCTTGGTTTAGAACTGAATCAACGGTAATTTTATAGTTACATTTCTGGTGTTTAGACAATTCTTCATGTTTTCTTTTATTCTTGTTAGGGATTCTCACATGAAAAGAAGTTCAAGAAAAAGATTAGTGGATTACTTTGTAGAGTATAGTTTAACGTGCAACTGACTTATTATTTCTAACAATATAATTCAACAAATGGATGAACTATAATATTTTAGCGTATTATAATAATGTGTTTCAATATATTATTTTCTATATTAAATTCTGATATCACACAATTTAATTAAGAAGTGTTTGCAATCTGCTGCGAGCCAGAGGTATATATAGATACTGTGACAATTACGTATCTGACTAATGTCAGGACCTACCTTCCACATTTATCGCACTAAAATGGCATCCCTATCCAATTAATGGTACCTTTCACTCGATTGTAGCTGTCTAATGGGAATTGATAAATTTTCACTTTTTTCTATATTATTAAAAGATTATAAAAAAGAAATTCAATTTTATAATTTTATTAGGTAACAAAACCAGGTGAATCCTTATGATCGCCGGTGTAAACAAACCTAACCTTCACAACATATATAACAATAGATTTGTTTAACTTTTCATTATTTTAATAAATATTTCTACCAAATAACTTATTAGTCAGTAAGATATTATATATTCGACTAAACAGTTTATTAAAATAATGTTTTTATTAATGCTTTCAAGGCAATTGGAAGACATAATTAAGAACCATAAAGCTAAAGAACGTAGACGTGAGGATTTACTTAAGCGTAAACAGGAACTTTACTATGAAATGCTCACCAAAATGGAAAGGCAGTGCCGTACCCAGTATTTAAATGTTCTCATCCAGAAATTTGCTAAGTTCATCGCTAATCTTGCAACAACTATAAAGGTGCCACCGCAACTTGTGGAACCGTTTAATCGTATGCAGCGTGGAATTTTTTGTAACATCCTACTAGCAATAGGAGTTCATCCCAATAATCAAGCTGCTGTTTATTACACAACCAAGGAAGCGGTTGAATATGAAGTATGCCATAAGCTTGCACATGCTTTGCTCAGCTTAATAGTTAAGGCACTTGATACTGCAGCAGCGAAAAACCCAGAAGATATACAACCCATTCAAGACATTGACTTTGAAATGGACAATTATATCAAGGATCGCTTAATGTGTGCTGCAGAAAAGAAAATAATGCATTCTCGTAAAGAAAGGAAAGCAAGAGCCATTAAGGTTTACAAAAACCCGTGCAAGGAGCCAAGACTTTTTATTGACTGATTTTTGCTCCACTACTCATTGCTTCAACTTTACATATTTGAATGTAGCGTAAAAATTCTCATTTGTGCGTTAGCCAAACCAACCAATCACTGATTCAAATTGCAAGTACGAAATTTAAGTATCTCGGCTACTTCTATAATTGCCGATTTAATAAATTTCATGTACTCATTAAAAAATTTTATGTCTTCCGAACTGTAAAAATACATACACGCGTGTGAACTTCATTCCAAATGCACTTTGCTAATAATAAAACATTTTTACAGTGAACTTAACATATATTTTACAATTTGCATTTGTTTTTTTATGAGGATATAAAAAAAAACGAAAGTTACAATATATAGTAGTACGTGAAAAAATAATTCAAAAAAAATATGTAAAAATGAATGTCCTTAACATGCAAAAATCTATAAATGATTAATTAATGAAAATAATAAATTATATTAATATATGTACGGTTTTAAATTTTATGAAGATAATGCTTTGTTGAACTCTGCTATTTTATTGATAACAAACTTCTCCTTTTCTATTATTTCCCTCTTAATAATTGCACGTAATTGTTGCAAGTTAGGCATTGAGTTGCAATCGCGCACGTTCAGCAGTTCCCTGAAGATAGTTTCCCATAAGATTTTATTGAAATAACGCGGCACATGCGTTTTATGCATCCAGATATAATCGGATCGTTTTTCTACTTCCATATATTTACCAAAGAGCAATACATGTATCACTCCCGCTAAGCCATACAAATCCAATTGATAAGTCCATGGACGTTTGTCACGCATTTCCACACAATTGAATGCATTATTATTGTGCACATAACTGAATGTCTGCCCAGGTTTAAAAAGCTGCATATCGATCGAAACACCAAAGTCGATCAGTTGCAGGCAACATTGCTTCGCTGGATATGTCAACCTTTTTTAAAAAATATAAAAATATAAAAAATATTTAATACTCGTACATAACAAATGAATGCTTACTTATTCATTAACAGTATATTATCAGGTTTAATATCTGCGTGGATGATGTTAGCAGCGTGCAGGTGATCCATGATTTCCAAAAGTTCACATGTCAGGTACATCACTACATACTCGTCCACATTTTTCATAGTTGACTTTTTAACTTTATTGCAAACATTTATCAGTGAACCATAGTCCGAAAATTTGGATACTAATACACTTGAGTTATTGCCGATTAGAGAAAATTCAATCTTCATGTACGCATTTAACTAAAAGAAAAAGAATAACTTATTTAAAGAGAATATTTAAATTATAAATTAAAAAGCTATGGCTGAACTATTAAATTAAATTGTATAATTCCGTCACTAGAAGTACTCTTGTCTCTCTCCAAGAGTACTTCGTTTTCTATTATGCACCTGTGTGCATGTTTCTAGTTTCAGAAACACTGTTGAAATGCCTTTTTAGAAATAGTTTTGATTAAACTGGTTCTGCCACGTAGTAGCCATCTCAACTATTGTTAAAAACCGTTATAATCCCTTGAGTGTCTCATTGAAAAAAAAAATTTTTTATATTAAAAATAGTTGCAGAATACCAAATTTTGCAAATAGTGCAGTTTTGGCATTACTCTTATACTTCACTATGAACTGTTGAATGAGTCGATCGCATTCAGTTGTAACTCGTATGACCAAAGATTTGGTGAAAATCAATTCACATTAGCAGTATAATATTTATACTTCTTCAGAAACCTCTCTAATGGTAACAGTTCGTCTATTATATTTCTAATTTTTGTAACATTTTATCATTCATCGATAAAGTCTCCAGGGTTTTTTTAAGGTCTTTTCGATATTCCTAAAAGATCTTGTATTATTTATAAGTTCGTGATTATGATAGTATCGTTACCAAAAGTCTTACTTAGTATAATAAACGATTCGCACGTACTTAATTTTATTTAAAACATAAATTTTATTATCTGTTTCTGTTACAATCTGTTATCTGTTTCAAAATATGCTACATAAAATGTCGCTAAACACGCTTGGGTAAGTCCTGCTCATTCGCTTGGCAAATACAAACTAAACACCACAGTTGTCTAATAGTTACTACAAACATTACTGATAGTGCAACCAATACATAAATACTACATTTACTCGAATCGATGAAAATGATACGATGTGTTACTTTTTCGTCACATCTCGTATGTTAGTGCGACTATGAGTATAAAAGACATTTAAAATTTAAGAAGTTGTTACAGTTCTATATTGTGGAATTGTAAATGGAAATTGTATATAAACATTTTTTTACTTATGGTGCTATATATTATTCCTTTGTAAAAGAATATAAATTCTAATGTTCAGAAAAATTGCTTCATAGTTAATAAAAAAATTAACTATTTTGACTTAACTTTTAAAAGAAAATCAGGTTAAAAATTTTTTATTTCTTTTATGGAATAGGCAATAAAAAAATATCAAGTTATTAATAAGTTAATTTCGATTAATGATTAATTTTATAAATTTGAAGGAATTTTTGTTTATTTATTTAATACCTAGATTCCAAATGAATCTCTACAGATGTGATAGTTTGCCGACCTAGGTGAGTTGGATTTCATTCGTAAACCTTAAAAATTTGTTCACTAAACATAATGAGTAATTTAGGATTTCAAGAATGGACGGGTCTGCTTCCCTGAACCACTTGTAGAACTTTACGACCAAGTGTCGTTCAACAATCTCAAACTGGCTAAAACAACAACAAAATGAGTATTTCGGATATGCTTCAGCCGTCCAATATAAAAACGGTGCCCTATGTAATCACTACCAACTAATGAAGATTAATCGTAGGTTTTGTAAGGAAGTCACTTCAACGCCTGTGTCTGTATGCCTTTGACTAAAATCAAAAACGGGCAACAGAAAAAGTGGAAGACCTAAAGTCACGTAGCGCCGTACTATAAAGAGGAAGGCGAACAAATCTGGACGCATTGGAAAAAAGCAAGTACCACAAGAATACCCATGTATTAAATGCTTTATTAAGACTTGATGGTTCTTAAAAAGTTGAAACAACTAATGCTATATGTGATCAATTCAGTCAAGTTCTCGTGAACGGGTTATTATATAATTAGTTCTTTCCATTAAGAATCAATTTTTGGAAGTAGTTAAATATATTTCTTACCATATTTTCTGATGTAATACGACTTTGTAGCTCCAAGCAAATATAATATTCCCAGTAGTTTGGTGGCCGTTCCTGTTTAAGCGCATATTTATCACCAGTTTTAGTGTCAATACCCCTATATAAATAAAAAAATATATATAGTAATATAATCATTGTATATATATATTTAAAATGATAAAATATTACTTTGATTTTATACTAACCAAAATATATTACTTACTTATACACAGCGCCATATGCTCCTTCACCGATAAGTTTCGAAATTTGAAAATGAACGCCATTGATTTCAATCGTTGTGTTTGGTTTTATGCAGGGGACACAACCTACCATTCTACAAGTTTGCAAGTCTTTTAAAAACGTTATTAAATCAATTTGATCTAGAAAAGCGTTTATTAATTCCACATTAAAAGGATTAACATTCGGATCTACACAAAACCTTTCCACCAGCTGATTGGTTTGATTTAGATCGCATTGCCGGTGTACAAAGGAATTATTATCAGACTTATCCAAAGAATCTCTCCATACATGTACGGTATTTTTGGGAGTTCTGGGTGTATTCTTGAAGTAAATACTCATTTCATCGTCATATTCATTACTTAAGTTGAGTTTCTCCTTATTGAAATAGTCACCTATTCCCAAAGCGCTAGCGGCGTTTTCGTAATTTGTAGCAGGTTTATTTGTGGATGCAGTCGATGTCCGATGCTTTTCCGCTGGGGATTTTTCTGTTGCGTTTAAATTCGATCTATTGCCAACTGTATCTTGTACAAATGATGACGGTTGCTTTAAAAAGCTCTGCTTAGATTTTTTGCAGTCTTGCGTTACTTGCCTTCTAATCTCATGAGTTTGTTCTAGTGTAGTCTTTTGCGGATAATTCGAAACCAAAGTAGAGTTTTTAATTAAGCTTATATTCGTTGAGAATAATGCAGTTTCTGCGTTCAGCTCGAAAAAATCATCCAAATCACTATTTTTTGAAGTTTGTTTTTGTGGTTCCTTACACTCTGAATTAAGATCTGTCTTAGGTTTTTCTAAAAAATTTAAATTACTCTGGGAGTTTTCGTAATTTGTTTTTGTCGGAACTTTTGGTGAAGGTTTGCTCAAAAATTTCAACGTACTACCTCCAGAGCTGAAGGCTTTGAGGTTTTCTTTCTGTGGCTGAGAGTTTAAAACTACTGACAAATCCTGCATTTCATGAGTATTATTTTGTGTATTTCGGAACTGAAGCTGTGATTTCGGTTTAATAAATGAGCTTGCATTCGAGTCTTTCGTTTCTGATTTGTTTAAATGGAAGAATGAATTCGATATATTCTGAGACTTTGTAGAGACTTGTAATGGTCTATTATCCCCGATGGAAAAGTCGTGCATGAAAGAATCTCCAGAAACAATTGTTTCATGTTTCCGATTTGTGTTGTCCACTTGGTGTTGGTTTGCACTGATGTTTGCACCAATTCTTTTAACTGATATATTCGTTGTAGCTCCTGTTAAATTGGCTGCTTCTGATTTTTCGTTTTTTGTGTTTTCCTTTTGTGGATTTGCTGTTGGTTGTGTTTCTGAAATTTCGTTTTTTGTGTTTTCCTTTTGTGGATTTGCTGTTGGTTGTGTTTCTGAAATAAATGAAAGGTTGGATAAAAGAGAATCGTCTTGTTCAGGTTTAGTTATTTCAGTTCGATGACTTGATCCAATTAGCAGTTTATCCTTGTTTTGAACTAACTTCGGCTGTGTTTCCGCAATTATAGAAAAGTCAGGTAGGAATGAGTCTTCTAAAATATTTTTTGATGATATATTGGACGATTTTCGAAAGGAGAGGAGTGCATCTTTAGGTAATTTCATGCTTTTATCACTTATTTCATCCTCAAATAGCAGCATAGTTTTTTTCGTGTTCTCCTTGGGCTTTTGAGCAAACATTAAATTAGTTTGTACCTCAGGTGTGTCAATATCGCAAAATCGTTTCGATTTTGGAACCAAGGGGGATGGATGTTTTACGGTAGAGATTTGTTTTGTAATTCCAAGTTGTTGATTTTGTTTTACTAACGATTTTTCAATGGCCGGAGGTGTTTTAACGAAAAACTGAAATGAATCATCAATGCTAGCGTTGTTGGTATCATGCGATTTAAACATTAATTTAGGCATGGTTTCGGTGTACTCGTCTTCAAATCGTATCGGTTTGGGAGGTAAGAATATCATTTGTAATGAATTATTTAGCTTATCTTCTTCTGGTTTCTGATCAGTAGCGACAGGTTGAATCAACATTTTAGAGATAGTTTCAGTTTTGTCTTCTTGAAATTGAACTCGGTTCGGTGCTGATACCAACAACGTAGGTACAGTTTCCGTTTTGTCATCTTGGAAACGCACCGTACGCATCGCAATATTCGGTGCTGTGTCTTCACATTGCATCAATCTGGAGAAATTGCCTGCTTCTTTGATTTCGCACTCTTCCGCAAACTCGTCAAGCACGGACACATTACTTCTTAAGTTATGAAGTCTTGTTGCAGCAGGTGTTGTTGGTACCTTGCTTGGTGAGTATTTTGATTGCTTATAGTCGATGTTTTCAATTGCGGGGTGCTTATTTGTTGTTGTTGTTGATGAAATGCTTTTAGTGTCTAAATTCACATTTGACAATAAAATATTTTCCTTGGAATTGGTTCCAGATACTTCTTGAGATCGTTCGAAAACCGTTTCCAAGTCTGTGTGAAGCGGCCGTGTTGCTGTGTTTGGTTGATTTTCGTTCTCAAAATCTGGCGAACTTATTGTCGATTTGGTTGATGTACCAGTGGAATGTGTTCCTTGAGTAGTGCCGTGCTCTGACGTTTCCAATATTGTAGAGAGTTGTTTTTGAAGTGTTGGAGAGTACTGTAGTACAGCCGGAATTGCTGAGATGGGTGCATTATTGCTTTGGGTACATACTTCGTTTGTATGTGTGGGCATTTCATTTAATATTGTTTCATGTTCTTCTGGTTCCGCTGCTGAAACAGGCTTAGCAGTTTCCTTTAAAGTGGTACCGAAGTGACGTTGTGTAGTTTTAATAGGTACTTTAGGTGTGCTGGCAGATTGTGATTTTAAAAATATGTTAAATGTTTGAGTTGAGCAAGTTTCATCTGCATCAAAAAAGCCTACTGGTTCTACTTTTTCCACTTGTGGTGGAGGAACAACTGTTAATATATCTAGTACTGGCTTTGTGGGTTTTCCACGTAGAGCTGGTCTTTTAAATTTAAAATTAATGGAGGTGGTTGGATCCTCATAGATTTCGAAAGGTTGAAATTTTTGCTGAGACATACCACCATTAACAGGTTCTTCTAATTCAGCTATATTTGGAACTTCTTGTGTTTTTGTATTTGGCATGTTAACGCTAGGGAGATTCTGATTAATATGTGGTACAATAGAAACAGCAGTATTAGATTGTGTTTTAACAGCATCAACATCAATTTCTGCAGAGTTAGTTTGTACTAGGTCTTCCACAAATATTGTAGAGTTCGTTTCTTTGATTGGAGAAGGTGGAGCTTTAACACTATTTTTTACAGCAATCGAATGGCGTGTTGGAAAGAAACTCTTACGTCGTGGAGCTTTTACAGCTGATTGACATATGGTTTCATCCATGTCTGTGACTATACACACTGTATTGTTACATTTCTCCATAAATTTAATGGCTAACAATTCTTCGAATTGATATTCTGTTTTAGTTTTTGAGTTATATATTTTATGAAAAGACACAACCAATTTAATTTTAGGTGGTTCAAAGTATGAGTCTAGCAATCCCAATTCTTGAGGACGCGAGTGTGAGGCAAAGTTTGGATATTTACGTATACTCACATTAATATTGTGACTGTCCCAAAATATGTCACGCTGATTCGTGAATGCATTGGATATATTTCGTCGCTTATACCAATTATAGGCCATGAGTTCTTCTAACTGAAATTCCATATTAGCACGTGGATATAACATGCATTTATTATATTGAGGATAAGACCTTGCATTCGGCTCTTCTTCTGTCGTGACTGGGGTACTCCAAATTTCTTGCGGCTTGTTTTTGATTGCAAAATTTGGATAGTATTTAAATGGCTTCTCAATGTTTTTTTCATCATCTGTTAGCTGTATTGTTGAAATCTTCTCAATTAATTCGTTGTCATTTGATTGATCTTCATGTATATTAAAGCCTGGTTCATGAGTTTTTGTAAATAATTTGCCACGCTTCTTTTTATCGTGTGCTTTATTCCACGGTCCAGGCTCTATATTATTTTCCTGGCTTCGTACGGACTCAATTATGGTACGAATTACAGACTTACTTTCCTCAGGTGCAGTGGCGTTCTGTTCTTCGGCTACTTTAGGTAGAACGTTGCGCTGTTCATTTTCGTCACTGAAAACTTTTACGGGAGCATTAGAACGTTTTACCACCAAAGAAGAATCAGTCTGAAATATGTTATTACATAAAATAAAGTAATTAACTTTTTATACAATAACTCACTTGAATGGTACCAGGTACATAGTTTTTAACTGCTGCACCTGTTCTTATACTTCCAACCTTTGCTTTACGGCTATATCCACGTAGAGAAGTCAGTGCCAAACGGCGTTCTTCAAGCTGTCGATTGACACTATCTTTAGCACATTCATCGTCACCATAAATATATCTTTGCGCCACAGAGAAACCGAAATGTTGCTGCGCTTCTTTCAACTCATCTAGAGGTTGAGCTCTACAGGCAACGCCTTGTTTAAATATTTCATCAGCTTTTCGTGTATTCCCCACCAAGTCATAGCAATAAGCCCAGCTTATATAAAAGTCCGAAACCATTGTACCAATGCCCGCATTAAAAAGTTGTTGGTAACTTTCAATAGAATTCTTATGGCTGCTGATCTAAAAACATAAACAAAATTAACTACTTTTTCTTTTTAAATCAATAGTGTAATACTAACGAATTTGATATAAAGTTTTATCATTCTCCTGTCTTGGTAATAGCGTTCATCATTTTCAAAATGTGTCAGACATTTTGTTAGAACTTCTTCCAATCCTGATTCTTTACCGCCGGACGGGAAGCATTGCTCGATCCAACTTATATACGAGTACCACGCCTCAAGTGGGTCATCTCCTTCATAATTATGTATATTGTCTTCCATCTGACGGCGTTGTGCCAACAATTCTTGTGCCTCTAACCGCAACGAAGCTTGTAACAAACTAGCGTCTCGTCCTGAGGCTAAAGGTTGTATGTTTTCCTTTGCTTCTTCAAAATCCATATCAAAAATATTTTTAAAGTAATAAAAGAAGAGGATTTTGTAATTAAAAACTTGTTTTATTTAATTTAATTAAATGCAGAGAAAACAAACGCAAAATTTCACTTATCGCAAAAAATTGATACATTCGCGCCGTTATTCAAAAGTAAAAATGGTCTTTTTGGGGTTGCAAACGTGCGCGAATATTTGTTATGAAAACACAAATTTTAATTATTATTATTATATGTGAGTGAATATTTATTTCAACGATTAAGTTCTTTTGAAGCACAAAAAAATTGTGTGATATATTCTTAATTATTTATAAAATACAAATTTGTATATTAAACCAGTAATTTTACAAAGTATCACTGAACTTATTCAAAATTTGTGTGTTATTCGGAGCAAAATGCAAATAGTATCCAGCGGCTAACAAAATTAAGTATGAGCCAAAAGAAATCCACTATGCGCACACTTCGCTACCAAAAATTTCATAAGTCTGTTTAAGTAGAATTAATAATATAATAATAAAAATAAATCTGTTTTCTTTTTGCAATTGATTATTATTGATTCTCAATAAATCGAGTTTACTTTTTTGTTGCTAATGGATGTATTTTTTTGCAGCTTGCAGATAATTGAATACAAAAAAAATACTCAGAGTTGTACTTGGAATGAGCTATTTTGACAGCTGTTATTAGGTGTTTTGATGTGAAAGTTTTGCTGAGGAAACAGGCAATTGCAAATATTTTTTGTATTTAATTAATACAACTTAAAAAATAATAAATTTCTATATATTTTTTTATTAAGAATTCGATGTTGAAATGCAATCGTTGCTAAAGTAATATACTTTGGCAATTATAATAATTGAAATAATAATTTTTGCTTTATTATATAAAATTTATGAAATTGATAAAACTAAATGAATAACAATTACAAAAATATAAATGAACTTATATATTTATTATTAATGAAGATGCACAAAATCATATGCATGTGTCAGTTACTGTCAACTGTCATTTTATCTAGCAATTTGAACATTTATCAAAATAAAAACAAAATAAAAATGAATTAAATATAGTCCTCTGGAATGCGAATGGGCTGTCAAAACACTGTTTAGAGCTAGAAGAATTCTTAAAAGATCAAAAAGTAGACATCATGCTATGTTAATATCTGAAACACATTTCACTTCAAAACATTATTTTAAAGTACCAGGCTATGACTTTTACCACACCATGCATCCCGATGGAACAGCTCATGGCCAATGTAGCATTTTAGTTAAAACAAACATATTACACTTTGAATTGCAACAATATCGCACTGAAGAGATTCAAGCAACCAGCATTGCAGCAAAAGATTGGTGTGGCCCAATCACAATAACATCAGTATATCGTCCACCAAAACACGCAACTAAGACGGCAACATATAAAAAATTCTTTAGAACCCTAGGTAACAGCTTTATTGCGGGGGGAGATTTTAATGCCAAACACATTGAATGGGGCTCTCGGCTTTCAACACTCAAAGGACGACAGATGCTTGTGGCTATAAGAAGCGAAAATCTTTAAACTATCTCGTCTGGAGAACCAACTTATTGGCCCACGGATCCCAAAAAAATACCAGCCTTGTTAGACTTCTGTGTTACTAAAGGACTGCAACAAAATGACACATCCTGTAAATCTAGCTTTGATCTTTCATTAGATCACTCGCCAGTTTTATTACGAATAAAATCGAGTATACAACTTAAAGCTCAAAAATGTTATCTGCACAACAAATTAACCAACTGGGATGCATACACTTAAGTCATTACTTGATGTAAAAATGGCGCTTAAAACAGACGAAGAAATTGCGCTTGTAACCGAACATCTTATAAGGAGTATTCAAGAATTAGCCTGGACATCCACGCCTTCAAACATTCAAAAATTCGCTACACCATTATGTAGTACGACTCAAGAACTTATTAGAGCCAAAAGAGCAGCGAGATGACCAAACCGCAGCAACAAACCAAATCCCCAAAAGATGTGCTGATCAAAAGAACTTCTGCAAACAACCAGGAATTTGGAAATACAAAGAAATCTCCAACGACTAGACGCAACTACTTCCACCAACTACTCACTCTGGCGAGCAATCAAAAAAAAGGCATCAACGCACAACCCACCAGTAAAAAACAAACTTGGGCAATGGGCCCGAACAGATATAGAAAAATGCAAAGTATTTATGGACCATCTGTCTACAGTTTTTATTATGACTTGATTACTTCAAACATATTAAAGGAGTTAACGGATCAAGCAATGGTACTACTGCGAAACATTTTTAATTCTATCGTAACAAAAGGCTTTATCCCTCCTCAATTCAAGGTGGCTCAAATTAGCATGATACTCAAACCTGGAAAAACGGCTTAAGATGTTAAGACATATAGACCAAGTAGTCTTTTACAGGTTATGTTCAAGTTGTTGGAAAATTTATTCCTTACCAGATTAATGCCCGTTGTCAATAAAATTAGACTAATTCCGAAACATCTCAATTTGGTTTTAGAGAAAAGCACAGTAGAATAGTGCAAGTACACAGAGTGGTTAATGTTATACACACAGCATTTGACAAAAGGAAGTACTGCACAGCAGCATTTCTGGATATATCCCAGGCATTTGATAAAGTTTGGCATAACGGTCAATTGTTCAAGCTTAAAAAGATGCTCCCAACTAATTACTATATTTTCTTAAAATCCTACAACGAATCACGATATTTCTTTGTAAAACAGATTAACCCTTAGATTAATCTTAAATGCTCTTAGATATATAAGAAATGAATGTATACATCGCGATCTTAAGATTCCCGTAGTTAAGGATGTTTAAAAAACCCAAGCCAGTAAACACAAAAAACGTATTTTACATCATCCCAACCACTTTATGAACAGAACGATAGCAGAAGGAAAAACGTTCACACACCTCCCCAAACAAACGCCACTGGAACTTTAATGTGCCCGACTTCAACAGACGGATGTGTTACTGAGCACAGTCCATTTAAGCTCACAAAAATTTTAAATATTTAGTCACTTTTAAATATTCTTTATTGTCTATTTCGAATTTACAGATCGCAATATAAGAAAATAAATTTAAAAAAAAACTTAGAAAGTGTTACTTAGTAAATTTCAATAACCAGACAAAGAGCTTACATGCTTTTTAACTTATTTAAAAATAAAGTAATAGTATGTTTCCACTGGTTTCGTTAAACCCTCATTAGATTCAAGCAATTTCAAGTGAGTTAACTTCATTTATGCAGTTTTGCTCATTATAACCACTAATGAGGATGATTTACCATACAAAGAGCTTTCATATAAATGAGCTCATTAACACTAAATCACCTCATTTAAAGTGAAAAATGTTGAATGCAATCCTTAAAAAATAAATTTTCCTCAAGGAAAATGATTACAGAAATATAGAAAATATTTAATGCTTAAGTATTAAATATTAAGTAACTTGCTTAAGTAAGTTACTTGCTTAAGTAACTTACTAATTAAGCGGTGGAAATATGGTATTAACAACCACTGAACGAGTAAGAATTGGACAATTCATTACAACAATGATGGATTTGCAGTACGTATATTATGGTAAAGTCACTATTTTCTTCAGTGATGTATGTACCTCATTTTTCATTTGGTGGACTTGTCAGCAAACAAAATTTTGTCATCTGAAAAAGAAGTAATCCGCAAGTAACTGTTGAAAGACTATTGTCAGACCTAAAACTCAATACCAAAGGAGATTGATCTTATGGAGAATTACGGTCAAGTATGAAGTATTTTGCGTCTTTCTTCTATTTTAATACTTTTTTGAAATAAAACATAAATAAAGGAATCAGTGCTGTTGTAGAATCTATACTTAAATTTTAAAAGCATAGGAATGGATTCAGATAACTGGAGTTAAGACAATAGACAAACTGTGTCATGGTGTGTACGAGTATTCGTATTCCTCGTAATAATGACAAAAATAATAATGCTGTCTTACTGAAACTTAAATTTTTATATTAAATTATTTAATTTTAAAACAATTTTATTGTTAAAATGTGTAATCGGACTAGCAAGTCCAGAATTTTGTACTTATTTAACTATACATTTTTATATATTTACTTTTTTGTGGACCTTAAAGAGAGCGAAAACTCAGGAACTATAAAAATTTTCAGCGTTAATCTTATCTGTTTCCTTAAAAATACTTCGCAACAGAAACCTTTTAATACAATAGAAAAAAAAGATAGATGGCAAAAAAAAAAAAATTGAATTACACGCTCTTTTAAACAATAAATTTACTGTTTTGCTCACTATTTTCTGGTGCTACTACCTCTAAGCACCATTTCGAAAAAATCATCACCAACTACTTAAGTGACTATTTTTTTAAATATTTACAATGTACGCGCACTCACACACATAAACTAACATGAAATCGTTTCCGCTTCCGTTTCATATAAATTTTTCATTTAACGTGCCTGAACTTGCTCGAAATCCCACAATGCTCAGAATAAGCTTATTTGTTTGCCTGTGCTGATTTGGAGTTCTTGTTATGTTATGGCATCTCATCAAAGCGTATCCAAACGAAACGTAAAAAAACACATAAAAATCATAAATAAAATCTACTCCAAACACGATTTTCCGTGAAGGCCTTTACAATGCTATTCCTGCCGTCTTTGTTTGGCTCATTTTCGGAAGAGTGGAAGTGGTATCGCAGATGGAAAGGGTGGCTCTAAGCCGAATATACACTTTTTGTACCTCATGTGAAACGTGTAGTTTGTACTTTTATTTATACAATATATATATATATATATATATATCTATTTATATATATTAGTATCTGTAAATATAAATATATATATACTCGTATTTTCATAGCGAAGTTTTCGTGCAAAAACTTTAGAATGGTGTGGCGCAAAATCTTAACCAAAATCGAATCAAATCCTTAAAGCGCCTACTTCAGACGATGTGGTTAACTAGGAAGCAGTCGTAATGTAAGTAGTCAAAACTGGTACAAGTTATATGCTTTGTGGAGCACGTGATTGTTGGGTTATTAAGAGTTAAACGCAATATCTTTAATTTAAAATAAGTTTAAAATGCAAAGGAATCTCACATTCAATTTTTTACGAGTAATAACACCAAAATATATGATATATGCAGGGTTATCCATTTTCTTTGTATTTGGCGGTTAAGTGTGCAATACAACGTCATTTAATTCTGCTTCACTGGACATTTTACAATA